ATGGGTTGTAAAGCTATGTTGGGAAGTATGGAACTGTATTTGAATATATGAATCTATGCTGGAGTGACGAAGCTGTACTGGGAACTATGAATCCATCTTAGGGTTTGTAAATGAATGTTAGGAGCTATGCATCTAAGATAGGATTTTAAATTTGCATTTGGAGTTGTTAACCACTGTTTAGAGTTGTGACGCTGTGCTGGGCGTTATGAAGATGTGACTGGAATTAAGAAGCTGTGTTGGCACTTTTGCAGTTGTATTGAGAGTTGTGAGTCTTTAGGGAGTTATTAAGTCGTGTTGGATAATTAGTGAAGCTATGTATCTGAGCAATATTGAAATACAGAAAATGGTTGTGAAGCGAGATACAAATCCACTTACCCGTCCTACTGAAACTATGTAAAAGCATAGTTTGATTATATTTACGTGGTGTATACCCACATAATATCCCTGCTAAACGTCTTACCGTCACTGATTTCACTACATACCCACAATATGCGCATGAGTCTTATAACTACAGCACAAAATGTCTACCCACTTGGCAATGGCATACATACCTTATATACCATCAGCATATTCACAGGTCGCTGACACCTGTATTACTAATGCCCTAAGGTACCACCGCTTCGTACTATCACATCCCTCCCTCATATAACAGATCCACGCGTAACATGCCCACGCCACACTCACCAATCGTCGCCGCCCTCATTACCCCTTCCGTATCATCCCAAGATCAGCCAGTCATCAAAGACACGACGCCCTCAGAACCGCCCACGCAGCGGACGCCCTGCTGTGCCACTTCGCTCTCTCCGTGAAACACAATTATGTGGCGCTAAAATTTGATTGTGTCGGCGGCGGCGGCCACAGACTCGGTGTTACCTGTTTGGCTCAATCCAATTAGGAGTTTGGCGCTGTGTTTCCCACTGTGAGGAGAGGGAGACGAGACGGGCGGGAGGAGAGGAGCGCAAGGAGGAAGAGGGATGGGGAAAGAAAGAGGGACAGACAGGAGAAAAGAAAGAGGTGAAAAGACGGAGATGGGACTTTGGCGCTGTGTTCCCCACTGTGAGAGGAGAAAGACAAGAAGACTGGAGGAAGGAGAGGGACGCACGGAGGAGGAGGGATGGAGAGCGAAAGAAGGAGTGACAATAGAAGAGAAAGAGAGAGATGAAAAGATAGAGAAAGGACTTTGGCGCTGTGTTTCCCAGGAGAAAGACAAGAAGACTGGAGGAAGGAGAGGGACGCACGGAGGAGGAGGGATGGAGTTAGAGAAAGAGGGACAGACAGGAGAAGAGAAAGAGAGATCTGAAAAGACTGAGAGATGGGAGTTTGGCGCTGTTTCCCGCTGTGAGAAACATGAGACGAGTAGAGTGACGCCAGCTGGAGGAGAGAGAAAGAGAGACAGAGAGATTGGAAGAGGGAGAAGAAAGAAAAACGAAGAGACGGAGAGAATGGATTTTGGCGCTGTGAAGAGCAGTAGAAGAGGAGACTGGACGGAAAGAGAGAGACTTAAGGAGCGAGGAGGGAGGGAAAGAGAGAGGGAAGGAGAGATAGAGGGCGATAGAGAGAAGGAGAGGAGAGAGGGGAAGAGGAGAGATGGGAGTTTGGCGCTGTTTCCCACTGTGAGAATAAGGAGAAACGGAAAGAGAGATAGCTAAAAGGATGGAATAGGGGAAATGAGGAAGAGATTTGGGGAAGGTGAGGGATTTAGTAAAAGAAAAAAAAGAGAGATGGGGGACGAGACAAAGAAAGAAGTGAGTATGTGTGCGAATGAGAGAAGGGAAATAAAAAGAAATAACATGATCAAACATGCATGAGACAGATGAAAGCACACAGAGAAAACGATTAAAAAACACAGACATATTGTCAGAAACAGCGATATATAGATAGATAGAGATAGGGGAGAAAGGGAGAGAGAGAGAGAGAGAGAGAGAGAGAGAGAGAGAGAGAGAGAGAGAGAGAGAGAGAGAGAGAGAGAGAGAGAGAAGGAGGGGAGAAAGAGAAAGAGAGAGAGAGAGAGAGAGAGAGAGAAGAGGAGGTAGAGAGAAAGAAAGAGAGAGACAGACAAAGAGACAGATAGACAAACAAACAAACATGCACATATACATCAAGTGAAACTAATGAATCTGCTCAAAGGGAAAAAAATAGCGGTGTCATATTTCGCTACTTAACAGAGAGTCGAAGGAAACGAACTGAAAGAAAGAAGAGAGAGAGAAAACAAAACAAAAAAAAAACGAAAGCGACAACAGATATAAACAAAAAGAAGAGAAATGAAAACCAGAAATACGATAAATGAGAAAAGATAATAAAAAGGAACAGAACAATTAAAGTAATAACATAGAATGAAGGTTACAGACAAAGGGGGAATGAGAGAGAAATAATAAAAGAGGCAATGATAAACACTAGGAGAACCAATAACACACTTAGAGACTTGTTTGTGTTAGGGGAGCCCAGCTAGTTGATTGGAAAAAGGGGAGAGAAGAAGAGGGGAAGAGAAGAAACAAAAAGGGGAAAAGGAGAAGACAAAGAGAAGACTAAGAAAAGAGAAGAGGGGAAGGGCAGAACGAGAGAGAAGAGAAAAGAATAAAGAAAGGGAAGTGAAGAAAGAAAATAGGGAAAGGAGAAGACAAAGGGAAGAATAAGAAAGAAGAAGGGGGAAGGGCAAAATGAAAGAAAGAAAATAATAAGAAAAGGACAAAGGAAAGGGATGAGAAGAAAGAAAACGAATAAAGAAAAGATAAATAGGGGAGTAAAGAAAATAAGAAGGAAAAAAAGAAGACGAGAAAAAATAAGAGGAAATAAAGAAGAACAAGAATGACGAGAAGAAAAGTATAAGGGAAGAACAAAAGGGAAGGGAAGAGAATAAAAAGAAAATTACAAGAAGAGGAAAGAGAGCAATAGGAGAGAAGAAAACGAAAATAAACAGAAGGAATAGACGGAAGAGAAGAGTAAAGCAAGAAAGAAAAAAAAACGAGAAGAAAAGAAATAAAAAAACTGGGCGAAGAATCTATCTATCTATCTATCTATCTATCTATCTATCTCTCACCGGTATCCATCTACACAAGAAAGAAAATGTTTTTTTTTTTCTGAGGCACCACAGCTCTTTCCATATATTCAATTTCTGTTTCCCGCTGAATATAACCAGCATATGTTAACTTTGATATCCAGTGCATAATCGTTAGTATATCTCTAATCTATCATTTGGTTTATTTACCCCTTGGTATATCCCTTTCATATCCATGACTTGATCACGTTGCATGGTTTGCAAATCTGTTACTTTACATATATATCATTTGGTATATATATTTTTTTCATATGATTTATATGATATATACTACTTGACAGATTTACCACTTACTAATGCAGATTAAGCTCATGATTTCTAATTAAGGTCATAATTTTTATAATCTTATGTGATTTAATCTAACATAATTGACTTTAATCGATTATTGATTAGTTACAGATAAGTGATATAGCTAATCATATTTAAAATGACGTTATATACATGAAATCTATCTAAGGGTATAATATTTAGATAGAATTATAATCTTTATAATCTTACTGATATAATTCAAGTAATACTTTTATACTATATGTCACATAGACCGTCGAGCACTTGTCACTTGACACATATTACACTTGACATACATAAAATTTACTTTAATATACACTTGTCGCTTGGAGGGCATAGTATTACACATTACATAACACTTCTATATATTACGAATTTGAATTTGAATTTACCACGACAACACAGCCTTCAACTTTCTCGTTTTGTTGTCTTCTGTATTTTCTAATTATCGATTACTAGTTATTTAATTCCTTATCTTCGTGTTATCACAATATTTATTTAAATCAATATCTATTCAAGAAGTCAAAGATAAAGTTTTAATATGCATTTTTTTTCCTCGCACTTTTTTTCTTCCATTCTTGTTTTTTTTTTTTTTTTCTTTTTCTTTTTTTTTTTCTTTTTCTTTTTTTCTTTTTCTTTTTTTCCTGTACTGTTGATTGGATTCTGGTTTTGTTGTTACTATCACCTGCCGCCGACACCTGTTGCTGTCTGTTGCATGTATTGCAAAAGTATCGGGTCAAGGTTGCTATTTTTATTCTGTCTGTTCATTTTTTTGTTATTTATGTTTTGTTTTTGTCTGTTCTTCTTTGTTACTGTTAATTATTTATGCGTTCTTTCTGGGTTTTGTTATTCTTTTTTATTAGTTCTGTTATTCTTATTCCATCTATTCATGATTGGTTTTCCCATTTCGTCTGTTCAAATGTGGTGTTCTTTATTTCACTATTCATATTTGTTTTTTGTTTTGTTTTTAACTGTTCTTGTATGTTATTCTAGAATCTGATTATATATATATATATATATATATATATATATATATATATATATATATATATATATATATATATATATATATAAATTGTAACCTGCCTGTCTGAATTATTTCTCTATTCAACCTGTTCTTCTTTTTGTCTTAATCTTTATATCTGTTCTTTCATCTTATTCTGATTTTGTTCGTCCTCTCTTTTTCCTCTGGTTCTTTACATTATGATCTGTGCTTTTATCATTTTTACCCAAATCACCGGAAAAGATTATTTTTATCTTTTTTATGCATATATATACATATACATATTTATGTATACATATATATGTATGTATGTATGTATATAAAAGTTTTCCTCTTTCTCCTTTGCTCTTCCTCCTCCTCGTTCTAGCATTTCTTACTTCATACATTCTGTAATATATTCCCCGATAATAACATAATTGAATCATTATGATCAATTCAATATCCATATATCCGGTACCAATACAACAATATTTTCCAATTTAGGTGACATAATATTTGTTTCCAATCGCATAAACAATTTGCACAATAACTTTCATTACTCTCGTGTGATAACTCATACACGAGGATAAAATAATTTCTGCAGTTTACGGCAAATTATCGTTTTTTTTTCACTATCTATCAATCTATCTATCTATCTATCTATCTATCTATCTCTGTCTACCCGTCTATCTCTCTCTCGCTCTCTCTCGCTCTCTCTCTCTCTTTCTTTATCTCTGATTTCTCCTTTGTTTTCTGATCTTCCTTCTCCCTCCCCTACCCCCCTCTTCCTCTCTCCTTTCTCCACCTTTCTCACTCCTTCCTCTCTCTCTCTCTCTCTCTCTCTCTCTCTCTCTCTCTCTCTCTCTCTCTCTCTCTCTCTCTCTCTCTCTCTCTCTCCCTCTCTCTCTCTCTCTCTCTCTCTCTCTCTCTCTCTCTCTCTCTCTCCCGTCACCCCATCCCGCAGAAATAACTCTCTTCATTTTCTTCTTTCCTCCTGTGATAGTGTGATGACCACCGCAATGTCTCATCAACTTCACCGCCTGTTGTTACAGACCTCATATCCTGGGGCGGTCTGTGTGCTCTCTTTAACCCTATCTGTCTTTGCTCGCGCGCCGTCGCTTTCGCTCTCTTCTCTCATTTCTTTGTTGGTTTTCTTTTTTTTTTTTTGGGGGGGGGGTTGGCGTTTGGGCTTCGTTTGATTTGTTTGTATGTTTGTCTTATTATTTTTTTTTTTTGTGATTGGGATTGTGATCGTGTTTCATCTGTTTGTTTGTTTTTCTATTTAGTTTTCTTCTTTTTGTTCCTATCCTTTTTCTCTATTTTTTATCTGTCTTGCTCTTTATCTCTTGATCTCGTTTTTTATTACTTTGATTATTTCGTATATACTGTGTGCATAAAGCGATCAGAGAGAATATTTGAGAAAGTGAGACTGAAGTGTATATACACACACACACACACACA